GCCCAGCCGCTCTGAGCCTCAGTATCCCCCGTCTCACGTGCCCTGAGCCTCAGTCCCCACCCCACCTGCGGCCACGTGCTCAGGCTCAGTGGGGGTGGCTGCTACTGAAGGTGCTCACGGTAAGCCACCTGCCCAGGGGCCCGGGAGGTGGCCCAGAGCTAAGACAGGTGGACACAAGGTCACCACATAAGACCAGCCTGCAGGTGCAGCCTCATCCCCATGCCCACTTCACAGGTGGGGACCCCAGAGGGGAAGAATGACCGCCGGTGCCCGTCCCACCCCCCAACACACACGCACACACACACCAGGCACACACTCTAATCCCCCATTGGATTCTGGGACCCAATGTCAGAGTTGAGGCTGCTGGGCCCAGGGCCGGGGCCTCAGTCTCCTCATCTGTGAAACGGGCTGGCGATAGCCGTTGCCTCAGGGCTGCCCTGCCAGCCACAGGAAGGACAGGGCTCTCTTCTCGGAGTCCCTGGTCCCTCAGGGTCTTGCCATGGGCGCTGAAGTGATGACCCATGGCCCGCCGCCCTGGCTGCCAAACAGACCCCCGCAAAGCTCTGTGCCTCGGTTTCCCAGCCCCTCACAGGGGTGACTGCCCCATGACCCTGCTCTGCCGCTGAGGTGGGTTAGGCTGGGCAGTGGCCACGGGGAGCATGCCCGGCTCGGCCCCACGCCCTGTGGGCACTCCCGGGCTGGGCAGCCAGGGCCCCTAGGAGCTGGCCAGTCCTGCTTGGCCAGCCCTAAGGCTGGGCACGGTGGCCACACCATTGGGAAGGGCCCTGCCCGGACATCCAGCCGTCGGGTGCCAGGCTGTGGGCACAGGGCCCTCTTCCGGAACCAGCGGCCACACAGTTGCAGAAAGCAACCTCAGGATTCTGTGGTCCATCCTCGGGTGGACAGACAGACGGGAAGCAGGGCACTTCTTAGCACCTACTGTGTGCCAGGCCCCCACAGTGGTTCTGAGTGCAGGCCTCAGATGGGGCTCTTTACGCCTGTCTGCCCCTGCGCCCCCCTCCTCCTTGTGACTCAAGCGCAGGCCGATCAAGGCCCGCGCCCAGACTGGAGGCTGTTCCCCTGAGGGAAAAAGTGCCACGTGCAAACACTCAGGACCGCGTGGCTGTCACACGGGGAATGAACGTCCCCACCCCCATATTGGGAGTGGTGTCCTCCTTGCACCTGTGACTGGTTACTATCCCTGTGGTCGCAGTCGGTTTAGATGTTGCTACTTTGTATCAGGAGCCCTGGCTGGCGTCTCTGGTTACAAGACGGGGCTGGTAACCACAAGGTCAGCCGTTGCAAACCACCAGCTGCTCCGCAGGGGGAAGACGAGGCTTTCTACCGCCGCCGCTGAGATTCACGGGCTCGGAAACCCACAGGGGCAGTTCTGCCTCAGGATGGACTGGGTGGCCGTGGGTGGGATGTTGGTGCTGGTGGACTAGGGTTTGGAGGAGTGTGATTTCTCTGGGCACTTGACCCCGGGACACCTCCCCTCCCCACCAATGCCGGCCAGCCACCCCACCTCTCTCAGCCTCAGCTTGCCCACCTGTAAAATGGGAGAGTACCTCAAGGCCAGGCCCAGGATCTGCTGGGTCCGCTTAATGTCCTTAAGAAGTGGGCCAATGTTACTCTGTAAAATGGGCTGGGGGTGGAGGGTGGCAGACCCAGCCACCACTCCAGCGCCTGATCTGCTGGGTGGCATGAGCCGGTCAGAAGTGGCGTGAGGTGTGGATAGGAACCATACATACATCGTGGTTTCAGGTTGCCCAGCGTAGGGAGCTGTGGCTGGACTGGGCTATCTGCCCTGTGTTCCTGCCACCTGGCTGAGCCCTAATGGCCTCTTGGGCTCCCCACTGTGCTGCGGCCCACAGGTCAGCAGTTCAAACCCACCAGCCCCTCAGTGGGAGAAAGACAAAGTTTTCTACTGCTGGAAAGCCTGTCCATCTCTGAAAACCACAGGGGGCAGTTCTACCCTGTCCTGGAGGGTCACGGAGGAGTCGAATAGCCTCGCGAGACAGTGAGCTTTTTTTGGTGTTTGTTTTCTGAATGTCATTTTTCTCCCCTCTCCCCACCCCTTAAGACTTCCAGAATGCACCCCTACCCACATCCTTTGGGAATCCGGGCAGCGTGGTGTCTGCACACACCCTTGATACCCCCTGCACCACCACCCCTACTTGCCTGACTGTGCGGCAGAGCCCTGGGGGCAACCCCAAAAGCCACTAGTTCTTGGCTGCTTGCCGAAGCGTGGAGGTTCGCAGCCTCCATGAGGTGCTATGGAAGAAAGGCCTGGTGACTCCCACACCACCAACCCAGCCGCAGAACTCCCCCACCCCCATCACAGTTGCCCTCCTGATGGACACGGGGTCCCTGAGACCTACAGCAAATGCCACGGCTACCTGGAGTCCGGGGTTGAGACCCCAAGTGTGGAGGTCCTTGGCTTGTGGACCCCGATTGATCGTCAGGCAGTGCCGGGGCCAGGGAACACAGCCTTCAGGCTCTGAGGCACGGGGTTCTGAGAGCCAGCTTTGGGGCGGTTTCTCCTCCACCCCTGGCCGCCTGGGCAGTTTCAAAATCAGGGCTGCTGAATGCAAGGGGATCCTTCCAACGCCCAGGACACTGCCTCGGGGATTGCCACCTCCTTTTCTATCATTGGAAGGGGGGCACACTGCACCCGCCTGCTGACCGTGCCAGGGCAGCCCCAAGAGCCACTAGCCCCCTGGCTCTCTCTATTCAAATGAGCTGGAAGGAAATCAAATTGGAGTTGCAGTAACTGTTTTGAACCACTGCCCTGGGATGAAGCAGTTCCTCTCCCTGAGCCTCAGTTCTGTGATCAGTGAAATGGGGCCACCACCACCCTGCTCAGATCCCCTGTGAGGGAGCGTGACATCATCTCCTGTCAACTTGCAAAGGGGTGGAGTCTAGCCTGTCAATCAGGCTGTGGCCAATGAGGCCTCCATGTGGGCGTGGCCTTCTCCTGAGGATTCTGGGAGCTCCTGTCTTCCTCCCTGGAGGCAGGAGACATTCTCTGCTTGTCTCCCTGCGAGACATTCCTGTTAAGGAGCCGCATGGAGACCCACACCAGTGCTGAGATGCTTCCACTGCCACTGGATCCACAAGACTTTCCACCCACTGGCCTGTGATCCTCCTGCATTTGGTGTCATTGCCTGTGTTGCGTGAGTCTGCAGAGGAATTTATAGACTGGTATCAGACAGATGGGCTAATATTGGGCTTGATCTAGACTGGGCTGGGCTGTTTTCTGGATGTACAATTGCTCTTTGACATAACGATCTCTCACACACGAGTGTGTATGAATTTTGTTTCTCTAGTCTACCCAGACTAACACAGGGAGAGAGGAACTTGTGTCCGAAATGAGAGCGCAGAGCCCCGAACTTGGACAACAATGAGGGATGCCAGCTTAGCCCAGGCCGGGCCCTGGGGCCCCCACATCCCACTCGGGCCCTCTGCCCACCTGGCGTCAGCAGCCACACCTGCCCCTGGCGGTAACAGTCATGGCCGCACTGGGCTTGTGCAGAGACCCCAGACGGAAAGCCTCGAGGGGACCCTGGCCCTACTTCCTCCCATGGTTTCTCTGGACTCCATGGTTATGGTTAGGGGCCCTGGAATCAGTGGCGACCCCACACACCACAGAAGGACGCTCCGCCCAGTCCTGCACCCTCCTCTCCACTGTTCTCACCTCTGAGCCCATGGCTGCAGCCTGGCGCCCGCCCAGCTCCCCACGGGCCATCCCCTCTTTCTCTCACTGCCCCTCCACTGGCCACGCAGGATGCCCTTCTCCAGGGACCGGTCTCCCAACAACACGTCCAAAGCACGGGAGACCAAGTCTCGCTGTCCTCCCCCATGAAGGGCCCTCTGGCCAGACTCCTTCCGGGACAGACGGCCCATCCCCCTGGCCGTCCGTGGTCTGTCGTAGCCAGTACTGAGAGCAATTCCCTTGACCAGGCTGGTCT